TCTATTCTATCGAGCACATTTAATCGTGTATACTAAGGGTTAATAATATTTTATATTTATTTATTAATTAAATATTTATTTTACTTTCCTTTATAGGTTACTGTGTATATGTTATTTAATTTAACTTACATTTATCTTATTTATCCGTTTTTTTATACATTTATTTAAGTCCCAACTAGATGGGAATACTACAAAATATCCCTAAATAATAATAGCAACTTGAATTAATAGTAATCTAGTAGATGGATGGCAATACGGGAGATTATTTTACAAAAGTTGTTTAATGTTTATCTTTAGCTTACAACACTCTAAATATAGGTAATGTATTACTATACAATACATATTACAACTAAGGAAATTATTTCTAACGAAATGCAAGGAGTAAGCGTCTATTTCTACATACCCTTAAAAGATATAAAAATAATTTGCACAACTTAACCAGTACGGGAATCACCTTAAGAACGGTTAAGATTTATATTTTTAGAGTAAAATATTTCGGAGTAGTGACTATACGTTGTGTACTTATAGTCACTTCTCCTAAATATTTTAATAATCTTTTGTATGATTTAAATATGCCAAAATGACCCGAAGTAGGTTCCGAATGATTTTCCTTTAGAACAGGATCACGTTGTTTATTTGGGACAACTAACTTCCATGCAAATTCCGAGGTTAGAATATTTATATTTTTCATAAAACGGTATAAGGAGCCATTTTCGACGCGATAGTTAGGAAAGCTTGCTGGTGATTTTTAACAGCCATAAAATATATTATATTATGAAACCATTTATCCTTGCTGTGAGCGACACTGACATCTCACATCGTTGACAAACACTAGCGCTTATTTTGTTTTATTTTATCATAAAATCTTTAACATAGCCTTGTTTTTTTTTAAAGGATAAGGGTGACAAACGAGCACACAGTCCACCTGATGGTAAGTGGTTGCTGCGACCCATAGACATCTACATCTATCTTCTATTACAAATCAAAATGTAGATGCGTTGTCACCCGTGAGGACTAAGATGGAATGCCTCATTTCCAGTAAAAAGGGCCTCCGGCCACCTGCACTTACCGAGCGAAACGCAGAGGTAAGCCTCTACTTCACGCTGGTTTTCTGTGAGGTCGTGGTACCACCCCGGTTCGAGCCGGCCTATCCGTGCGACAGCAACAGCTGCCGCGTGGCCCTACCACTATAAGTGGTAGAGCCACGCGGCATGCGGATGCCTCGCGGATGCCTCGTGTAGAGGCGAAACACGTGTCGTATTATCGTCAGTGTAGTGGTGTTGGGAGTGGCGGTGCTGGGCTTAGTGGTGACGGGGATAGTGCACGCAATTGAGGGAGGGTGGGAGGTGCTCTTCATACTAGGTAAGACACATCATTTTATTTTATAACGCGGATATTTGTGAAGTAATTTTTTCTAAAAGCTTTTATATTATTGATTTTGATCTAATTGCCCTCACAACAATACTCTCCTGCGCTCTGTTTAGTCTGCCTCTTCCTACTGCCGTGCATCTAATATTAAACCTTGACAGCTGCCGTCCAGTGAGATCAGCTGTATCCCGTCCCTTGTTCACAAAATCAGTCCAGAGGGAGTTTCCACTATGGGAATCACCTTAAGAACGGTTAAGATTTATATTTTTTAGAGTAAAATATTTAGGAGAAGTGACTATAAGTACACAAGGCAATATCCAACTTATCTTTATTATTTTTCTTTATTATTACAGATAATTTTAAGAGAATTATATAATATAATAATAATAAAGATAAGTTGGATATTCGTCAAAAGTCAAGTGTTTACAAACTTGTTTGTGACGAATGCCACGCCGTTTACGTGGGTCAGACTGGTTGCATTTTCGAGACACGTTATAAAGAGCATTTAGCCGCGTACAATTTTTTTTACAACACAATTGTACAATTGCAATCCAGATAAATCCCATTTTGCCAAACATCTTTTGTAAAAGCTTTTACAAAAATTTACTTCGCAAATATCCGCGTTATAAAATAAAATGATGTGTCTTACCTAGTATGAAGAAGCACCTTCCGCCCTCCCTCAATTGCGTGCACTATCCCCGTCACCTTTAATCCCAGCACCGCTACTTCCAATACCACTACAAGCGTGTTGCACCTGCGCAGTCAGTTTATATAAAGAAATATATTTTTTCATGATTTTTTTTGTAATATTACGATATTATTTTTTACTATTTATTCACTTGAACAACAAATAATTTTACTTACTTGACTACTGAACTGTTATTTACGTCGGGTTTAAACTTTAATTATAAATCTTCCGCCGCTCCACACTGCATGAATATTGAAACCACAGACTAACTAGTAGATTGAAACCACACTAAATGACATACTGTACGGATTGCAGTACAGTTCAGTTGAACATAGTGTATGTTCGGAATGCGCTATCTAGTACGTAGTACATATATATCGATGGTAACAACAGTAGTATGTAGATAGATAATTAAACGGATAGAAAACGGAAATGTGGTTTGAAGGTAGGTATTGGGTAGTGGCTAATCTGATATATAAAAAATAATTTTTGTTTGTTCGTATTTTATGCGCTGCCATACCGTTCATCAGATTGCGGTAAAACTGTCAACTTATCACAACTTATTGCTTGCACTCGCGAAGGTTATAGGCATAGTACAATTAACTTACAGTAGGTGGTGCGCGTATCGTACCGAAACATTTATTTGAAAGTTATTTAACATATTTATTAATAAATTTTAATTAATTTATTATCATTACTAATTAAACAATATAGCCTTACTATAAATTTAAAACGATATTTCCACTATTATTTCTTACGCGGCAGTAACGCGCGTGATGTAACTAAGTGGATGCGGCCTCGAATTGCAGATATAGAATTAAAATACAGATGCGTCGTCACCTCTGATGACTAAATAGAAATAATCGTTACTAGTAAAAGGAGTTTTGGTTTATTGCACTCACTTATTCTATTTTGTATGAGCATGGCGAGTTTCCCGGTCAAGCCGATCCGTTCGTGCTTCAGTTATGCTTAGCGTGGATCAACTATGTGCTAATATTTGAATAAATTCGTAATCTCCTCGTTCTAACTAGCATTTAAGCAGCTCAAAATGCACAGTATACCTTTTTTTTTAAACTTTTTTAAGCCCCTGGAGACCCTTTTGTATACTTAAATTGTACATGGATAAACACCCATTCTATATCGGGTTGCTTGCGTGCTTCGTGCAAATTATGGCACCCAGCATAATTTAAGCATTATAATTTATTCCATATTTTCTAAACTTTCTTGAAACTGCATTTAGCATCTGTGTAGGGAAATACTCGTCAATACTCACTAACTTTTACTACGTGGTAGAGTTATGCTGCAGCTATCTTAATAGTATAGTTGTAGTACGAATGGGTTGGCTCGACCGGGGAAGGACCACGCACTCACAGAATACCAGCTTAAAATGACAGCTTGACACTGCTGTGTTTCGTATGGTGAGTGTAGAGAAACGGAGACCCATTTTACTGGAAAAGAGGCATTCCATCTTTGTCCTCACGGGTGCCGACACATCTACATTTTGATTCTTTATTGAGGACAAACGTAGATGTCTATGGGTCACAGCACCCACTTTCCATCAGGTGGAGTGTGTGCTCCTTTGTCACCCTATTCTTTAAAAAAATAACAATAAATACTACATAATGGGCATGAAAGAAGCTTTGGAAACTTAGGACTGTTTTGGTACAAGAAAAAAATAGAAATAAAACAATAGATAACATTCATAGAATGTTTACTTAGATTGACACGTTAAGCAATCCCACAAACATTTTGTTCATTTTTTTCATTTCTTTGACTGGAACATTCAAAGATAGTTAAAATATTTGTACAAAATATCAAAATATTTTTACCACCTAAAATGTATCAGTCGCTTAACATTGCAGTGTTTAAAACTATTTATACAATAGAATGGCCACATCTAATATACTGGCAAATTATATACAAAAAGAATATCACAATATGAGTCAAATGTTATACATAAAATCATTTTAATACAATTTTACTTCATAATAAAAACCCAAATATTATTAATAAAAAAATAAACCAGCAGTGCGATTGTGTACCTCTAGTGGGAATCATTGCCGGTAGGAATCGTCTGTTACTGCGTTATTTTCTTTTATTATGATATTACTTTCTAACCTAACAGAATTATTGACTTATAAATGATACTGTGATACATTTACACAATGCAACGAAGCCAAATGTCAAACTTTTAAACGAAGCCAACAGGCAATTACTATTTCAATTTTTCCACTTTAGTTACACTTTTACATTGCTGACATTTACCAAGGTACATACATAAACGTAATATTAAGCCGTGGGGTATACTTTAAGTAAACAGCTACATCGTCAAATAGCATAATAAATCTTTAAGCGTGTTTAGAAAAAAACGTTTCATTCAACTAATAAATAATATCATATTGTACGTTAAAAAAATAAATTTTGAGCGTAAATTTACACTTCATTCTCCACAAGAACTAGCCACACTGAGCGGTGTGCAAACGCGACACAAACTTAAATGACAAAGAAATTAAAGTGATAGCCGGTTTATTTCTAGAAATAATTAAATGTCATTGTTAAAACATTTTGACTAGTGATAATATTTACAAGAGTTATTTCATTTTATTATTTCATTTCATATTTCTCTAGACCTGATCGACGATTGTGGCTGGTAGTACTTTATCTGAGTTTTGACAATTATATAAACTATAAAGGTTTTAAATTTGATTAGTTTCAAATTCTATGGCACTATTTTATACAAAATAAAATAGGCAACTTTTCTTAAGCGCCCGAAACTATGTTATAAAGCTAAGACGGCAGTGATAATTATATTTTATAAGTTAGTCCCTACATTATATAAGCATGCAAAATTATATATTCTTTCAACATAAACGTAAGTTATCATTATAAAGAAAGACTCAGGACACGTAACAACGTATCAGAAATGCATTTTCAAAATAAAATTTTAACAAGGATTATCATTTTTCAAAGTTGTTCCACTCTGCATGGCTGTTCGGTTTAGCATTCTTTTATGTTTAAACATATAGATGGCTAGAGCGATAGACAAAACAACAAGGAAGATGGAGCCACCAATACACATATCTATTATTCCCAGTCCACTCAAAGCCTCTAGGAAGCTGGCATGCAGTTTGCTTACGTCCCTGATATTTCTTGTTCGCGGTTTTGTTCGGGAAAACTCGAAGTTATCTGAAAATATATTATATATAATAAAAATTTACTGGATTATGATTAATTATTGCAGACAATATTCCAATACAGTTATATGTAAAACTATGATAGAAATCAGAGAGAAGCTTGTCTTAAATTTCATAGTATACGAAAAAGCCAGTTATATTCCTGGTACCAATTTAGTGCCGATTGTTAACTTAAATTTTAAGTGGTGATGAAAATATACCATATAATTGACTTCATGGGATGCCATTGGAAAATTTGCGAGCCCTTGAAAAAAATAGTTCAGATATACTTAAATACGCCACTTAGCATTTTTTTAAATAAAATAAGGGTGAGAAACGAGCACATAGTCAAAATATCCGCAGGTAACTGAATGCAGTGACCCATGGACACCAAAATCTATCTCCGATTAAGAATAAAAATACACATACGAAGTCATTCAAAGGACTAAGATAGAATTTTTTTATAGAATAAGGGTGACAGGCGAGCGCATAGTCCACCGATGGTGCTCTGACCCATAGACATCTACATCTATCCACGTTTGCGACTAAAATGCAGATGCGTTGTCAGCCGTAGGGATGGAATGCTTCTTTTCCAGTAAAAAGGGTCTCCGGGTCTCTACACTCACCAAACGAAACAAAGCAGCATTTAGCTGCTATTTTACGCTGGTATTCTGTGAGAGCGTGGTCCTTCCCCGATCGAGTTGACCCATTCGCTCTACAACTATACTATTAATATAGCTGTAGCATGTCTCTACCACGTATAAGTCACGTATAAGCCCTCCGGTTCGCTACAGTTACCATATAAAATACAGTAGCATTCTGTGACTATTTTACGTTTGTATTCCGGACGAGTCGACCCATTCGTGCTACAGTCATAATATACATTAGCAGACATGTAAACTGCATGGAAGTATAGGATAATTAACGCATAATAACAGACTAATTTAATAATAAGGAAATATTTTAAAATGATAGTTATAAAATTAATTTATATCTACCAATTATATTTTCATTACTGACTGTATAACTATGTTATATTCGTTATTTGAACAAGACTTATCCCATGGTAATAAGAACATGTTAACCGAGAGGAAAAACCTCATAAAATGTGGCATTGGTGCAGTATTTAACAGTGGTAGAGCCACGCGGCAGCTTTTGCTGTCGCACGGATGGGCCGGCTCGAACCGGGGTAGTACCACGACCTCACAGAAAACCAGCGTGAAGTAGAGGTTTACCTCTGCGTTTCCCTTGGTGAGTGTAGGTGCCCGGAGGCCCTTTTTACTGGAAATGAGGCATTCCATCTTAGTCCTCACGGGTGACAACGCATCTACATTTTGATTTGTAACAGAGGATAGATGTAGATGTCTATGGGCCGCAGCAACCACTTACCATCAGGTGGACTGTGTGCTCGTTTGTCACCCTTATCCTATATAAAAAAAAAGACCAAAGTACCGACAGATTACGAGTAAAACCCCTAGTAATGACAGGTTTATTGTGAAAACTTCATTGCGAAATCATTTTTAATGTCAATTATTATTAAACAAGAGCTAAATGAATGGCGTTTTTATTTGATATTTCATGATATTCTCCCTTTTGGAACGGCAAATAGTCCAAAGTTGATGAAGAGCGTCGCTATAGAGCAGCTTACAGATAAACTGGCTTAAAATTTGCACGTGACCACGTAAATTGGACTGTACAGAAATGGGAATCCATTGTTTACTGATGAGTGTAGAACATGTATGGATAGTGCAGGCAGTTGTCGAAGGATATATCGTCGACGTGGGGAGCATTACACTCAAAGTTAAAGGAGCCTTGTTCATTTTGGAGGCGAATCGTGTATCGTTTAGGGAGGCATACCGATGGATGCAGGAATGGGTTTCGATTCATTGACATTATCTCAAAGGACTATGGTGGTCACGATTTGATATTACATTGCTATATATTAGAGATTTAAGAAGCTTATGTGCTTTACAGAGAACTTGCAAAATTACATTCCAATGCAAGAAAACTCTTGATCGCTCGCTGCAGCATAGTATAGTTTAAGTTGTCATTCATACACACGATGAATTAGCCAGCACGGAGCCCAGATTTAAATCTAATTGAGGAAGTACGGGATACTTTTAAAAAAGCAAGAAATGCAGTCAATTCAGTCAAGAAATCCAATCCAGAACACTTACTTATTTACTTAAAAGAGCAATTATTAAATTATATGAATAGGATAATATATTATTCCACAAGATCTTTCCAAAAAACCTATCATGTCTATGCGGAACAGATTCGAATTGCCAATAACGGCACGGGCACGAAATAATCGATAATTTTATAAAACTCATTTTTAAATTAAGTAGATTTTAGTTGCATTCGTTATTTTGTATTAAAAATTATATATATTTATTTACTACGCAGATTGAAGTTTCTCACAGGAAACTACTTTTTCAAGATTATACATTAGTCTTAAATTTTTCATTTGAATGAATCTGAAAAGTTTGCATACTACACAAATATTTTTCTTTGAAAGTATCCTGTACTTTGATGCAGTTATGTGTCCGTCAGTTTAGCTGCAGCGAGGCTCTACCACGTCAAAATCATCAAAGCAGGGTAACTAACTCTTACTGTTTCTTAATCATTTCATAAATATTCAGTAAGGTTTGTGGAATGATGGCATGACAAAAATGGCTGGAGGCCTGTACCAGCAAAGAGGTATTTTTAAAGCATTATTTTAATTTACTTTCATCAAACACCTTCAGAAGTTTCTTATAGAGTACATAATCCACCTGATGACAAACGGACGCGGTAGCCCGTAGACACCTACATCTATCCTCGAATACGAATTAACACGTTGCATCGACACCCCTAAGAACGAAATAGAATGACTCATTACCAGTAAAAAAGGGAGAACTTGAGAGACAGGGCAATTACACTGGTATTCTTTGAGAGCGTGGTGCTTCCCCTGTCGAGCCGACTCAATCATGCTGTAACCATAATATAGCTGCAGCGTGGTTCTACCACTTTAAAAAAATAATCCAGTTGAATGTGAAATATTCATGTTGACTTTAATTCATATTTCATATTATGCATACTTTTTACCATGGCAATGGCGAGTGTGTAGCTGCATTTTAGGATAACATTAGAAAAATAATAAGTTCATACTGTGTTGTTATGTCTTTTCGTTGATAAATAACGTTCAAACGTCGTAGAACCATGCTGCAGCCATATTAATTGTATAGTTGTAGCACGAATGGATCTACTCGACCGGGAAAGGATCACACTCTCACAGAATAATAGCGTAAAATAGCATCTTAATCCTGCTGTATTTCGTATGGTGAGTGTAGAGAACCAAAGACCCGTTTTACTCTAAAAGAGGCATTCCATCTTAGTCCACACGGTTGACAACGCATCTGCATTTTGATTTGCAAACGGGGATAGATGTAGATGACTATGGGTCACATCAGATTCTCAGGTGGACTGTGTGCTCGCTTGTCACCCTTATTCTATAACAAAACATGAATATATTCTAAATTTAGATGTTGCTTCAAACACCATGTTCAGCAGGTGCAATAGCAATTGAAATACTTATATTTAATTATAACTCATGATAAAAAGACCTCATGTTAAATCAATTTATATGCTTTTTTGGAAAGCCACCTGAATTCCCTTTTTTCTAAGCTGATTTATATAAATTTCATGCCCTTTCAGAAATACCGGATTTCTAGCTGAACATAGTTCGGAAATCAGATATAAATCGAGTCGAGCTAAAGCAAACTGATCAAAGCCAAACATAATATTACTAAAGCGTATCGAATATAAACTCCATGAATATGAATTACACTGATGTAACGCCTAATCTCATGGGCTTACTGAAACAATTATTAACATATTTAAAATAAAATAAATTACCAGCGTTTAATTGTGGTTCGTCGTAATAGTCAAAATTTTTCTCGGAAAGTCTGCTAGTTCTACCAGATTTTATCTCATTCTCTTCTGGAAAAGGTGGTAAGTATGTTGAAGGTGGATTTGTGCTACTTGGAGCAAACGGTTGAGGACACTTCGGATCTTTGGATCCTGGGTAACAAGAACTAGGAGTGGAAGAAGTGTGAGGACACCTTGGATCATTACTTCCAGGATAACATTTAGGAGGCTCTTGTGTAGTTGGTTTAGGACAACGTGGATCATTTGATCCTGGGTAACATTTAGGTGGAGCAGGTGTGGTTGGCTTAGGACAGCGTGGATCCTTACTTCCTGGGTAACAGTTGGGACGAGCGGTCGTTGAAGGTTTCGGACAACGAGGATCATCTGATCCCGGATAGCATCTAGGAGCCTCAGGTGTGGTTGATTTAGGACATCGGGGGTCTGTGCTGCCAGGGTAACAGTTAGGTGGGGCGGGAGTTGTCGGTTTAGGACAGCGCGGATCTGTGCTACCGGGATAGCAGTTTGGTGGAGCAGGTGTAGTTGGTTTTGGGCAACGAGAATCTGTACTTCCTGGATAACATCTGGGAGGAGCCGGCGTTGTTGGTTTTGGACAACGCGGATCGTCTGATCCCGGGAAACATCTGGGTGGTGCAGGTGTAGTTGGTTTCGGACAACGTGGATCGTTAGAGCCTGTGTCACATTTAGGTGGAGCGAGAGTGGTCGGTTTAGGGCAACGTGGATCACTGCTTCCAGGATAACAATTTGGTGGAGCCGGCGTTGTTGGTTTTGGACAACGTGGGTCTTCTGATCCCGGGAAACATCTGGATGGTGCAGGTGTAGTCGGCTTAGGGCAACGTGGGTCAGTGCTTCCAGGATAACAATTTGGTGGAGCGGGTGTTGTAGGTTGTGGACAACGAGGGTCTGAGGAGCCCGGGTAACATTTTTGTTGCGACGTTGTTGGAGGTAAATACGTAGGCGGATTTAATGTTGTTGGTCTGGATGGCTGAGGACATTTGGGATCAGGAGAACCTGGGTAACAAATTGGTTTGGGAGTCGTGGGCCTAGGGCATCTAGGATCGTTGCTTCCAGGGAAACATTTCGGAGGAGCAGGCGTCGTAGGTTGTGGGCAACGCGGATCGGTAGAGCCTGGGTAACACCTTGGTTTGGCTTGTGTAGTTGGTTTCGGACACCGTGGATCATTTGATCCTGGATAACATCTGGGTGGAGCAGGTGTAGTTGGTTTCGGGCAACGAGGATCATCTGATCCCGGGTAGCATCTAGGAGCCTTAGGTGTGGTTGATTTAGGACATCGGGGGTCTGTGCTGCCAGGGTAACAGTTAGGTGGGGCGGGAGTTGTCGGTTTAGGACAGCGCGGATCTGTGCTACCGGGATAGCAGTTTGGTGGAGCAGGTGTAGTTGGTTTTGGGCAACGAGAATCTGTACTTCCTGGGTAACATCTGGGAGGAGCCGGCGTTGTTGCTTTTGGACAACGCGGATCGTCTGATCCCGGGAAACATCTGGGTGGTGCAGGTGTAGTTGGTTTCGGACAACGTGGATCGTTAGAGCCTGTGTAACACTTAGGTGGAGCGGGAGTGGTCGGTTTAGGGCAACGTGGATCACTGCTTCCAGGATAACAATTTGGTGGAGCCGGCGTTGTTGGTTTTGGACAACGGGGGTCTTCTGATCCCGGGAAACATCTGGGTGGTGCAGGTGTAGTCGGCTTAGGGCAACGTGGGTCAGTGCTTCCAGGATAACAATTTGGTGGAGCGGGTGTTGTAGGTTGTGGACAACGAGGGTCTGAGGAGCCCGGGTAACATTTTTGTTGCGACGTTGTTGGAGGTAAATACGTAGGCGGATTTAATGTTGTTGGTCTGGATGGCTGAGGGCAGTTGGGATCAGGAGAACCTGGGTAACAAATTGGTTTGGGAGTCGTGGGCCTAGGGCATCTAGGATCGTTGCTTCCAGGGAAACATTTCGGAGGAGCAGGCGTCGTAGGTTGTGTGCAACGCGGATCGGTAGAACCTGGGTAACACCTTGGTTTGGCTTGTGTAGTCGGTTTCGGACACCGGGGATCATTTGATCCTGGATAACATCTGGGTGGAGCAGGTGTAGTTGGTTTCGGGCAACGAGGATCATCTGATCCCGGGTAGCATCTAGGAGCCTCAGGTGTGGTTGATTTAGGACATCGGGGGTCTGTGCTGCCAGGGTAACAGTTAGGTGGGGCGGGAGTTGTCGGTTTTGGACAGCGCGGATCTGTGCTACCGGGATAGCAGTTTGGTGGAGCAGGTGTAGTTGGTTTTGGGCACCGAGAATCTGTACTTCCTGGGTAACATCTGGGAGGAGCCGGCGTTGTTGGTTTTGGACAACGCGGATCGTCTGATCCCGGGAAACATTTGGGTGGTGCAGGTGTAGTTGGTTTCGGACAACGTGGATCGTTAGAGCCTGTGTAACACTTAGGTGGAGCGGGAGTGGTCGGTTTAGGGCAACGTGCATCACTGCTTCCAGGATAACAATTTGGTAGAGCCGGCGTTGTTGGTTTTGGACAACGTGGGTCTTCTGATCCCGGGAAGCATCTGGGTGGTGCAGGTGTAGTCGGCTTAGGGCAACGTGGGTCAGTGCTTCCAGGATAACAATTTGGTGGAGCGGGTGTTGTAGGTTGTGGACAACGAGGGTCTGAGGAGCCCGGGTAACATTTTTGTTGCGACGTTGTTGGAGGTAAATACGTAGGCGGATTTAATGTTGTTGGTCTGGATGGCTGAGGGCAGTTGAGATCAGGAGAACCTGGGTAACAAATTGGTTTGGGAGTCGTGGGCCTAGGGCATCTAGGATCGTTGCTTCCAGGGAAACATTTCGGAGGAGCAGGCGTCGTAGGTTGTGGGCAACGCGGATCTGTAGAGCCTGGGTAACACCTTGGTTTGGCTTGTGTAGTTGGTTTCGGACACCGTGGATCATTTGATCCTGGATAACATCTAGGTGGAGCAGGAGTAGTTGGTTTCGGGCAACGAGGATCATCTGATCCCGGGTAGCATCTAGGAGCCTCAGGTGTGGTTGATTTAGGACATCGGGGGTCTGTGCTGCCAGGGTAACAGTTAGGTGGGGCGGGAGTTGTCGGTTTAGGACAGCGCGGATCTGTGCTACCGGGATAGCAGTTTGGTGGAGCAGGTGTAGTTGGTTTTGGGCAACGAGAATCTGTACTTCCTGGGTAACATCTGGGAGGAGCCGGCGTTGTTGGTTTTGGACAACGTGGGTCTTCTGATCCCGGGAAACATCTGGGTGGTGCAGGTGTAGTCGGCTTAGGGCAACGTGGGTCAGTGCTTCCAGGATAACAATTTGGTGGAGCGGGTGTTGTAGGTTGTGGACAACGAGGGTCTGAGGAGCCCGGGTAACATTTTTGTTGCGACGTTGTTGGAGGTAAATACGTAGGCGGATTTAATGTTGTTGGTCTGGATGGCTGAGGGCAGTTGGGATCAGGAGAACCTGGGTAACAAATTGGTTTGGGAGTCGTGGGCCTAGGGCATCTAGGATCGTTGCTTCCAGGGAAACATTTCGGAGGAGCAGGCGTCGTAGGTTGTGGGCAACGCGGATCGGTAGAGCCTGGGTAACACCTTGGTTTGGCTTGTGTAGTTGGTTTCGGACACCGTGGATCATTTGATCCTGGATAACATCTGGGTGGAGCAGGTGTAGTTGGTTTCGGGCAACGAGGATCATCTGATCCCGGGTAGCATCTAGGAGCCTCAGGTGTGGTTGATTTAGGACATCGGGGGTCTGTGCTGCCAGGGTAACAGTTAGGTGGGGCGGGAGTTGTCGGTTTAGGACAGCGCGGATCTGTGCTACCGGGATAGCAGTTTGGTGGAGCAGGTGTAGTTGGTTTTGGGCAACGAGAATCTGTACTTCCTGGGTAACATCTGGGAGGAGCCGGCGTTGTTGGTTTTGGACAACGCGGATCGTCTGATCCCGGGAAACATCTGGGTGGTGCAGGTGTAGTTGGTTTCGGACAACGTGGATCGTTAGAGCCTGTGTAACACTTAGGTGGAGCGGGAGTGGTCGGTTTAGGACAACGTGGATCACTGCTTCCAGGATAACAATTTGGTGGAGCCGGCGTTGTTGGTTTTGGACAACGTGGGTCTTCTGATCCCGGGAAACATCTGGGTGGTGCAGGTGTAGTCGGCTTAGGGCAACGTGGGTCAGTGCTTCCAGGATAACAATTTGGTGGAGCGGGTGTTGTAGGTTGTGGACAACGAGGGTCTGAGGAGCCCGGGTAACATTTTTGTTGCGACGTTGTTGGAGGTAAATACGTAGGCGGATTTAATGTTGTTGGTCTGGATGGCTGAGGGCAGTTGGGATCAGGAGAACCTGGGTAACAAATTGGTTTGGGAGTCGTGGGCCTAGGGCATCTAGTATCGTTGCTTCCTGGGTAACATCTTGGTGGAGCCGGCGTTGTTGGTTTCGGACAACGAGGATCATCTGATCCCGGGTAGCATTTAGGTGCCTCGGGTGTTGTTGGCTTAGGGCAGCGGGGGTCGTTGCTTCCAGGGTAGCAGATGGGTGGGGCGGGAGTGGTCGGTTTAGGACAGCGCGGATCTGTGCTACCGGGATAGCAATTTGGTGGAGCAGGAGTAGTTGGTTTCGGGCAACGAGTATCTGTACTTCCTGGGTAACATCTAGGAGGAGCCGGTGTTGTTGGTTTTGGACACCGCGGATCGTCTGATCCCGGGAAACATCTGGGTGGTGCAGGTGTAGTTGGTTTCGGACAACGTGGATCTTTAGAGCCTGGGTAACACTTAGGTGGAGAGGGAGTGGTCGGTTTAGGGCAACGTGGATCAGTGGTTCCAGCATAGCAATTTGGTGGAGCCGGTGTTGTTGGTTTTGGACAACGCGGATCATCTGATCCCGGGACACATCTAGGAGGTGCAGGTGTTGTTGGTTTTGGACAACGTGGGTCTTCTGATCCCGGGAAACATCTGGGTGGTGCAGGTGTAGTCGGCTTAGGGCAACGTGGGTCAGTGCTTCCAGGATAACAATTTGGTGGAGCGGGTGTTGTAGGTTGTGGACAACGAGGGTCTGAGGAGCCCGGGTAACATTTTTGTTGCGACGTCGTTGGAGGTAAATACGTAGGCGGATTTAATGTTGTTGGTCTGGATGGCTGAGGGCAGTTGGGATCAGGAGAACCTGGGTAACAAATTGGTTTGGGAGTCGTGGGCCTAGGGCATCTAGGATCGTTGCTTCCTGGGTAACATCTTGGTGGAGCCGGCGTTGTTGGTTTCGGACAACGAGGATCATCTGATCCCGGGTAGCATTTAGGTGCCTCGGGTGTTGTTGGCTTAGGGCAGCGGGGGTCGTTGCTTCCAGGGTAGCAGATGGGTGGGGCGGGAGTGGTCGGTTTAGGACAGCGCGGATCTGTGCTACCGGGATAGCAATTTGGTAGAGCAGGAGTAGTTGGTTTTGGGCAACGAGTATCTGTACTTCCTGGGTAACATCTAGGAGGAGCCGGTGTTGTTGGTTTTGGACACCGCGGATCGTCTGATCCCGGGAAACATCTGGGTGGTGCAGGTGTAGTTGGTTTCGGACAACGTGGATCTTTAGAGCCTGGGTAACACTTAGGTGGAGAGGGAGTGGTCGGTTTAGGGCAACGTGGATCAGTGCTTCCAGCATAGCAATTTGGTGGAGCCGGTGTTGTTGGTTTTGGACAACGCGGATCATCTGATCCCGGGACACATCTAGGAGGTGCAGGTGTAGTTGGTTTCGGACAACGTGCATCATTAGAGCCTAGGTAACACTTAGGTGGAGCGGGAGTGGTCGGATTAGGGCAACGTGGGTCAGTGCTTCCAGGATAACAATTTGGTGGAGCGGGTGTTGTTGGTTTTGGACAACGTGGGTCGTCTGATCCCGGGAAACATCTGGGTGGAGCAGGTGTAGTCGGCTTAGGGCATCGTGGGTCAGTGCTTCCAGGATAACAATTTGGTGGAGCGGGTGTTGTAGGTTTTGGACAACGAGGGTCTGAGGAGCCTGGAAAGCATTTTGGTTCCGACGTCGTCGGTGGTAAATATGTGGGAGGATTTATTGTTGTTGGTCTAGAAGGCTGAGGGCAGTTGGGATCAGGAGAACCTGGGTAACAAACTGGTTTGGGAGTCGTGGGCCTAGGACATCTTGGATCGTTGCTTCCTGGGTAACATCTTGGTGGAGACGGCGTTGTTGGTTTCGGACAACGTGGATCATCTGATCCCGGGTAGCATTTAGGTGCCTCTGGTGTTGTTGGCTTAGGGCAGCGGGGGTCTTTGCTTCCAGGGTAACAGTTTGGTGGGGCGGGAGTAGTCGGTTTAGGACAACGCGGATCTGTGCTACCGGGATAGCAGTTTGGTGGAGCAGGAGTATTTGGTTTCGGGCAACGAGTATCTGTACTTCCTGGGTAACATCTAGGAGGAGCCGGTGTTGTTGGTTTTGGACACCGCGGATCATCTGATCCCGGGAAACATCTGGGTGGTGCAGGTGTAGTTGGTTTCGGACAACGTAGATCGTTAGAGCCTGGGTAACACTTAGGTGGTGCGGGAGTGGTCGATTTAGGGCAACTTGGGTCAGTGCTTCCAGGATAACAATTTGGTGGAGCCAACGTTGTTGGTTTTGGACAACGTGGGTCTTCTGATCCCGGGAAACATCTGGGTGGTGCAGGTGTAGTCGGCTTAGGGCAACGTGGGTCAGTGCTTCCAGGATAACAATTTGGCGGAGCGGGTGTTGTTGGTTTTGGACAACGTGGGTCGTCTGATCCCGGGAAACATCTGGGTGGAGCAGGTGTAGTTGGTTTCGGGCAACGAGTATCTGTACTTCCTGGGTAACATCTAGGAGGAGCCGGTGTTGTTGGTTTTGGACACCGCGGATCATCTGATCCCGGGAAACATCTGGGTGGTGCAGGTGTAGTTGGTTTCGGACAACGTGGATCGTTAGAGCCTGGGTAACACTTAGGTGGAGTGGGAGTGGTCGGTTTAGGGCAACGTGGGTCAGTGCTTCCAGGATAGCAATTTGGTGGAGCCGGCGTTGTTGGTTTTGGACAACGTGGGTCTTCTGATCCTGGGAAACATCTGGGCGGTGCAGGTGTAGTCGGCTTAGGGCAACGTGGGTCAGTGCTTCCAGGATAACAATTTGGAGGAGCGGGTGTTGTAGGTTGTGGACAACGAGGATCTGAGGAGCCTGGAAAACATTTTGGTTCTGACGTTGTCGGTGGTAAATACGTGGGCGGATTTATAGTTGTTGGTCTAGAAGGCTGAGGGCAGTTGGGATCAGGAGAACCTGGGTAACAAACTGGTTTGGGAGTTGTGGGCCTAGGACATCTTGGATCGTTGCTTCCAGGGAAACATTTTTGAGGAGCAGGCGTTGTTGGATTCGGGCAACGAGGATCATCTGATCCCGGGTAGCATCTAGGAGCCTCAGGTGTGGTTGGCTTAGGACAGCGGGAGTCTTTGCTGCCTGGGTAGCAGTTGGGTGATGCGGGAGTTGTAGGTTTCGGACATCGCGGATCTGTGCTTCCAGGGTAGCAGTTTGGTTGGGCAGGAGTTGGATTCGGGCAACGAGGATCATCTGATCCCGGGTAGCATCTTGGTGCTTTGGGTGTGGTTGGTTTAGGACAGCGGGTGTCGGTGCTTTCAGGGTAACAATTGGTTGGTGTGGGTGTTGTAACTTTGGGACAACGTGGGTCATCTGATCCTGCATAACATCTTTGTGGTGCTGGTGTAGGCTTCGGGCATTGTGGGTCAGTGCTACCAGGAGAGCATTTAATTTGGGGCGGTGCAGTATTTAATTGGCACTGTGGATCCAAAGAGCCTGGGTAACACTGTGATTGTGGTCTGAATGTTGTTGTAATTTCCTTGATTGACCCACCACATGACGAATCGCAGTTACTCGTACAGAGCTGAAAATTAAGAAACGTTTTGTTACTTGTCGCACCCTCTCTCGATTTTTCTCTTTTTATTGCGCACATATACATATACGCCGTTATTCGTACATACAGGGTATTGGGTAAATATTTGACAACCCGACTGGATAGCCCAATCCCTCTAAGAAAAAATTAAAAATATAACCAAGGACGTATGGGAGATACATAATTATAAAAAGGAACTAAATGTGGTACCTTTAATGACGTTAATATGTACTGCGGCATCAATTTAGAAAAGTGGAAAGTGGGTTTTCTAAGAATACTCAGGAATGTTGAGGCTTGAAAAATATTGGTGTACTCGCTTTGTTGACAAAATTTGAGCATCTTTGTTGCAGAAAGAAAGTATGGCAACCTGGGTGGCCAAATTCTTTAATAATATTATTATGTCTATTTTACACAGTTTTTAAAACGATCCTCCTCATGTTTCTTTTCAAATATCATGAAACTTTTGAAGTCACAAAAATGGATATTTGTTCATAAATATGTAAGGTTTTATCTATGGGTATTAATAAATAATTCAATTGAGAATTTTTATAATATATCGTTTTGGTTTAAAATAAGTGGTCATACTGGGTCTCTCGTGCTGTAATATACGCTATGCATCATAATGAAGATTTATTTAGTTGCAGCATATATCTTCTGTTGCTTGAGCTGTTTCATGTAGCCTCGACAAAATCAGTTTAAAGGAGTTTTTGATTGGTCTGGCGAACGCGGATGTTACAAAATAGGCCCCAAACGGCTATTGCACTTTTTGGGGTACACTTCGTCTAAGTATCTTCTGATAGGTGTGACGTAAAGTGCTGGCATACGCGTAATACCTATCATACTAAAGCCACATCCTTTGTTGGGTTGCTATGGCCACCCCTTCTAACATTCCAAGAAAATAGTTTTGCAAAAAATGTAAATAGTTTGACCAATCTAAGTTGTCTGGCCGTTCGATTGGGTCTATAATATTTCGTATAATATCTTTGTCCATTTGGTCATTTAAAAGTGACTAAAACTGAGATTTATCTGCACGCATCATATGAGAACTATCCAACTGCCACCTAAATTTGAAAAAAAGAAAGTTGTGGAGGTTCAGAAAATCTGCTCTTTTTGGTGAAAATTCGTCGGTTCATAATATTTTACCAAAAAACTCAAAATTGTCTTTAAATTTGAATAGCATTTGCTGGTAAAAATGTTGTCTTGCAGCAAAGCCTTTAGTTTGCAGTTTGCACATTGGCCAAGTCATCATCATCATCATTATAGCCTCTCACAAGTCTACTGCTGAAAATAGGCCTCCCCCAAGGAATGCCACAAAGCACGGTCCTGAGTCACCAACATCCATCGACTTCCTGAATATCTTACCAGGTCACCAGTCCATCTAGTGTGGGGACGTTCTACACTTCGTCCGCCGGTTCGAGGCCGCCACTCGAGAACCTTTCTTCCCCATCGGTTGTCGGTTCTTCGAGCTATATAGCCGGCCCACTGCCACTTCAGCTTACTAATCCGTTGGGCTATGTCGGTCACTCTGGTTCTACGGCGGATATCCTCATTTCTAAGTTTATCACGCAGAGAAACTCCGAGCATAGGCTTCTCCATAGCTCGCTGAGCGACCTTGAGCTTCCTCATCCAGTCAGCAGTGAAGGACCACGCTCAGTTTCATAGGTCATCACTGGCCACACGCACTGGTTGTACAGTCTCATTTTCAAGTTTTGAGGTATACCTGACAAGAAGATGTGCCGTAATTTCCCAAACGCTGCCCAACCGAGTTGAATCCGTCGATTGACCTCTCGGTCGAAGTTGGACTTACCTAGTCGCACTATTTGTCCCAGGTAAACATACTTGTCAACAACTTCGAGCTTAGTGCTCCCAACAACTACCGGCATAGGTGTGACATGGACATTAAACATGATCTTTGTTTTGTCCATGTTTATCTTAAGACCTATCCGTTGGGAAACACTATTGAGGTCATTGACATAGTGCTTAGGTCCTCCAGCGATTCTTCCATAAGGACTATATCGTCGGCAAAAAAAAATCGAAGGTGAGTGATGTACTCGCCATTGATGTTAATACCGCATCATTTCCAGTCCAGTAGCTAGAAAACGTCTTCCAATGCGGCGGTGAATAGTTTCGGGGCTATAACGTCACCTTGTCTTATACCTCTCTGCAATTTAGGTTTTGTACTCTGGTTCTGTACACGGGTAGCCATCGTAGCTCTACTGTACAAGCACTTCAGCACTTCAATATACCGACAGTCAACTTGGCACCGCTGAAGGGACTGCAGCACCGCCCGAATTTTGACGGAATAATCATAGTCCACATACGCCAGACATAGTGGCAAATTGTACTCCTCGCTGTACTACCATCCTAATAGCAGCTGTGCATCTGGTAAATACTTTGTAATCAGGTTGTCAAGCATTGGGATATTTCTCTTGATAAAGTGCTGCGGCTGTGTTATCGTTGAAGTGAACTATGTATGTGTATTCAAATTATGGACGAGAATTGACGGGTTGGTGTGTGTGACAGTTTCGTCTTACACTTGCGCTAGATATTTTTGTGGGTTTTTACCATTATGTGTGATTGTTCTTCGAGGGTCAGGCAACGACGCTCAACTGAAAAACTATAAATCGATTTCCCTTCTGAGCCGCGTCTATGAGCCGTTTTTTAGAATTTTTTCACCGCTACATTGGAAGACAATTTCAAGCTACTGGACTCGAAAGGATACTGTATTAACATCAAGGGCTGGTACATCACTCACATTCGATTTGCCGATGATATAATTTTTTGGCAGAATCGCTGGAAGACGTCAGCACTATACTCAATGGCCCCATTAGTGTCTCCTAGCGGATAGGTTTTAAAATGAACGTGGATAAAACATGGGTCATGTTTAACGTCCATGTCTGTCGATAATATTACTACGCAAAGTTATATTATCAATTAAATAAGACGTCATGTATTAGTCAAAGCTTGTAAATCGCTAGTAAACGTAGTTTTTCTAAATAGCTTGGAATATTGTACCAATTTAAAATCCCCTCGAAATCAGGTGCCTTTACTTTACATTCGGAATTTTTCTACATGATAGACTAAAAAATTAGGATATCCGCAATAGAACCAGAGTAATCGACACGGCCTAATGGATTAGCAAGCTGAAATTACAATAGGCCGGTAAATATATAGCTCGAAGAACCGACAACCGATGGGGAAGGAAGGTTTTAGAGTGACCATCTTGTACCTGTAAGCGAAGTGTAAGGTGGCTAGCCCCTCACTAGATGGAGTAACGACCTGGTAAGATATGCAGGAAGTTGATGGAATATTTGAGAATTCGCAAGATCTACGATTATGATTTGTTCATAGAAATGCAATAAGGTGTCGTCAATCTCATAATTCTCGTTTCTGCACCGATTGCTTTTAAAATCAATATCTGAGAGATCTTGTGGTCTATGAATTTGAATTCGTCGCAAAAACTTTATTAGCCGCCATTTGGAAAACATTTTATTTGTTCTCTTGTTTGGTCGCCAGTTAAATATCAAATTTAAATCGCACAAAAAACCTGGAAAGCGATCTTGATTGTTCTTCTCACTCACTTATGGCCAAATAGTGTTCATCTCCCACACAAGGACAAACACATGCGTCGTGTTATGCGGCCAGGCAACAGCCCTACCCAAGGTCTGTTTGATCGGTTCCGTTCTTTATTTAATACTTACTACTCATTTATTTTAAAGGAATCATTATTTTTAAAATTATTTGGAAATTTAAAAAATATTTCATTTTGTGAAAATTGTTCATCTTGGTATGTGCGTAGTTACAACATAGAAATTAGAAATTAGCGTAATAACATTTTAGAAACTGCATAAAGTAGGTATTTATAATTTCTTCAGCTAAACCTAGGTTTATCAGCATTTCGGTTTTTAGTCAAATCATATATGTATATGTGAACAAAACACTATTACTTACATAATATTACGTTTACAAGGAATATAATAAATTTGAATATATATATATTTGAATATATATGTCATATATTCAAATAAGTGTGTGTGTGTGTGTGTGTGTGTGTGTGTGTGTGTGTGTGTGTGTGTGTGAATTTTATTAATATTTGGTTTTACCCTAGCCCACTGCAGTATACATTACTCCAACTAAATTTCCGGTTGGCTGGTAGAAAAGCTTAGTACATATAAAAATGTGTTAAATAAATAAATAATTGTAAAATAGTACATACCTCTACATTACAGGTTAAATATACTTGATCCGTTTCGGGAAATCTGAAAGCGCTAACTTTACTGTACGCAATCAAAGTTGCCCCACTTTTGCCAGTATTTGTAGACTTTTGCCATTGATCAATGAGTTTTTTCTTCCTTTAAAAGTTTTAATACATGTATCATATTTTAATATTACAACATTTAATTTTAATTCCATTTTATAATATTAACTACGCATTTTTTTATATTTTAATTTTTTTTATAGAATAAGGGTGACAAACGAGCACACAGTCCACCTGATCGTAAGTGGTTGCTGTGGCCCATAGACATCTACATCTATGTTCGTTTGCGAATTAAAATGCAGATGCGTTGTCAGCCGTGAAGACTAAGATGGAATGCCTCTTTTCCAGTAAAAAGGGTCTCCGGTTCTCTATACTCACCAACCGAAACACAGCAGCATTAAGCTGCTATTTTACGCTGGTATTCTGTGAGAGCGTGGTCCATCCCGGTCGAGCCGACCCATTCGTGCTACAACTATGCTACAAACATACTATTAATATAGCTGCAGCAAGACTCTACCACCTATAAATTTTTATATTTGCTTTATTATATCTCTTACATTTTATTATCTTCTTTCTTATAGGTAATTGGAGGAAAGTTTTGACATCTCTGTTCTACATAAGTGTGTACAGTACAAAATCCAGTGTTATTTTTTTCATTAGTAAATTATTCATTTTAGATTATTGATTTTTATAATTTAAATTGAAATAATTATTTTTAAAGGTAAAGTTTGATTTTAGCATACCATAAGCTTATTGTTTTTTTACTTAAGTTATAATATTGATACCATATATTAGACACTAACATCCATTTTGAGCGCGAAAATCCCTCGACACTCAAAATGGATGTCAGGGCGGCGGTCGTGAATCCAAAGAACACTCCTCATTTTGGCTTTCATTGGCAAGCTGGTTAAACCACAACCATCGGAACTTCTCTGTCGCCTGAATAGACTACAGAAAGAAATTCTATACTATAACACTTGCATGGCTAAAGTGGGTCTTCAACCGTAAAAAAAATTCGTTAGAAAAAAGAAAGAAGCTCGTGAAAGTCGAAACAGATAAGACAAATTATCTGGATCCGGATCAATAGGTGATCGACATGTGAGGTAGTCTGCCGAACTAAATTGTTTTTTCTACAAGCTGGTAAATCTCAGTCAGCCTCGCGGATCATGTAAAGCGATTGCGAATCCATGGAGGACTTCTCCAATTGCAAAAGGCGGGATGCTCCTTGATACTGCCCGCATCATGCGCTCGTTTTTTCCCTTTCCTCCTAACCCTCGGCCGTAAGGTCTCCCCTGCCGACGGGTTCTGTCTGATTAGGTTAATTCTATATTTTTTTCAATAGTTTATTAATTTTCTTTTTTATGATTTATTTATTTTTATCGTAATTTATCTATTTATATATATGTTACGGCTAAAAGCCGAAGTGCGGATACACCTAGGTTTAGCCAGCTACTACTAGGTGTAGCCTATTGCGATTGGTTAAATTTAGGTGTATTATATATATATATATATATATATATATATATATATATATATATATATGTAATTTATAAATTACCGTGGCCCAAACATTAACCTACTCTCGCTGATATTACTTGATATGTATTTCCGTATTTTTACAAATGTAACAGTGCACCTAAATTTAACCAACTAATGCTGGCCGCACCTAGTTCTAGCCGATTAGAACTAGGTGTAACCGCACTTCGGCTTTTAGCCGTAACAGATATACCAACCAGACGGGAGCATTATAAAAATGTTCAATAATAATATTTCACTATTATTAAAAATAGTAGTCTTGGAATACCTGAACAAGTAGTTACAAACAAGAAAACGTGATGATGTTATTGGAATGGAATGGAAGTGGTGCTGATATGATGATGATAATACTCGGAACAATAGATTACTAGTCTGTTGTTTTAGAAAAGATCACTTCACTTTTTTTGTGATTTAGAAATCATAATAGGAATTTGAATATTAGACGGATTACTTTAACGACTTCCTTAAGATGTATTTAAATTTGCGTGACGTTCAGTTTAATTATTACTTACTTAGGACATCCTTGTTTATCCGTTAGTTGTATTTTATTCGTCTTAGGGCTGTCGTAGCTGTCACTATCATAAGCCCAACAATCGTGAATTTTAAGATTAAATTGGTTTCTTATATCCTTCAAGTATACTAAGATTGTCAGATATTCACCAATTTTGATTGAATTTTCAAGAGGAGTAGTCTGAAAGAAAAGTATATTTATAATATTAAATCTGAAAGAAGACGGAAAATTTGACCCAAAATTGCACTTATGTTTAAGGAATATAAATTTACTTTCTAATGTAAGACCATTTTATATGAATAACCAAGTAGGTTATTTTAAATTTTTATAAAGGTTACAATTTCTGTTCCAATTAACAAATGTTTTTAAATTAGCACATAAACATACGTTAGGAAATACTCCTTTCTGAATATCCATCCAGCACTCAACCCCACCAGCGGGACCTTGGACAGCAACCACATCGAGCATATCTACCATAAATGGTTTAAGTTTTAGAACGTGCGTTTGCTCCTCTCTCGTTCCACCAGTTGATAGTTCCAGTGAAGTCCTTGCACATGATACCTACAATTAAATAATGGTTATCTAGATTTCTAATATACGTTGCTTTTTTCAATTTCACGAATATAAAATAGTAAATAAATAATAAAAATTTACATTAGAGGTAATGTTTCTTTTAAATTGTGACCACAAAATTTATTATTGAATTAATAAAGGAATAGTGAGAAAGGAAACTTTTTGAAAAACACAATTGAGTTCAAAATTATCATTGAATATTTTATACCTTTCTAGCAAAGTCCAGTGAACCCTGAACGAAGTCATCGGCTTGGAATACGAGAACATTATCAATTGTTCCACAAGCATTGCATAGAGGTCGAGATCCACAGCCATTCAGAGGCACTCTGAACGAGTAACGTGACTGACTTCCGCCAAGAGTTACATATCTGTAATGGTGTAAAATTCATAAATTGTTGGCAAAAATGTATGAAAACTTTCTTATGAAAATTAATAAATAGGACTAATTATGAAGGCTACGTGTAAGATATATGTACAATATAACGTAGTCGAGTAGGCCTGTATGATAATTTTAGCTTTAGTTTTAGTTCTATTTATTTTTCCGGACCGATACGACTTAGGGACCTTCAAGAAAAGAGCGTACTCCTTTTTAAAAGGCCGGCAACGCATCTGCGATTCCCCTGGTGTTGCAGTTGTTCATGGGCGGCGGTAGTCACTTACCATCAGGTGAGCCGCATGCTCGTTTGCCCCCTCTCCTATAAAAAAAAAAAACAATACAATATAACTAAACATTTCATAAAAACTGTGTACATTGCAGATGGAAGATTATTATTTTTTACTATTTATTTAAAATCATAGCTTATCTTTTAATTGTTCATTTAAGTTTAAAAACTACTACGCTGAAAATCAGTACCAAAAAATGGCATTTAACAATTTCGTTGTATCGAACTCAACCCATTTTGTATAAAATTGAAGTGACAAACGAAACTTACCATCAAACCGGAACATACTCGTAGTAATACATGCACTGCTATTTGCGGGAAAAATAGGTAAGAAAGATGGTGGTACTTAAACCGACGGACTCGTAGTCAGAAAACGAGGCCTACCACCTAGTAAAGTTTACTTAACCCCTGAGCTACCAAAGCTCACCAACACTACACTACCACAGGGTACCAGTATACATAATTAAAACTGTTACTTTTGATCTATTTACTTTACTATTTCTAAATTTTAAATTATTTGTGATATAAAGGTTTAGTATTAAAGTCTTATTGAAAAATTAGATTTATTTATTAGTCGGCGACAAGAACACTTCTGTACCCTTCAAGGAATTGTGAAGATATACCATAGTCACGCTCGGCAGACGGATTGGTTACTTGGAGATTGACTCGTCATCGCCTGTATGTTTACGAGTATATCTGTATTCACTAGTAGGGTCCATAGCCATCTTGTGATGGCCATGAGATCTTCCTGGAATTTCCCATAGACTTAGATCTCATAGTTTTATGTTGCCATAACAATGCGATATGAAATAATAAAGTTAAAAAGTTAAAGTTACAGTATATATATGTCCCACTGCTGGGCACAGGTCTCCTCTAATTTCTGAGAGGGTTTTAAGTCAAGGACATGTCCACCGCACTACCCCAATACATGTTGGCGAACTTCACATGTCTTCGAAATATTTGATATGATGCAATAATGACGGCTCCGTGGCGCAGTGGCTTAGCAATCAGTTGTTGCGCTGGGGCCGCGGGTTCGAATCCCGCATGGAACAAGTATTTGTATGGCCTACAAATAATTGTTCAGGGTCTGGATGTTTTTCCTTGTGCAATTTATGTTTGTAAACTGCCTCCACGACACAGGAGAAAATCCTAGTGTGGGGGTAACGTTTTAAAAAAAAGATAAGATAGATAAAGATAAAAAGATAATAATGGACTTTTAAATCAAGTCGTTAAGAACTTCTCGAAAGAATTTCTCTTCGTTATTTCAATGAAATTAAAAAAATATTAAAAAGAAGATATATTTGACAATATGGCCAAAAATAATACGAAATAAATAGATATTATGTACTTACTTGCATTTTGGATCGTTCAGGTACCCCTTGCTGTATATAATACCATCATATACATCTGCAAATTCAACTGTTACTTCAATGTAATCAGAAGTACATTGTACATCGATATCGGGCAAGAGAGGAGAGTCAGCTGCCCTCGACCCTCGCATAAAATGCACCGCGGTATCATCACTGCTTTCGTAGAAAGGTGATAAGGAGTTGTCACCAGCCAGCTGAAGGTTCAACTCTGCCGCAGTGAGAGTTTGGACGCCATCTGAAACAGCTGTAGCGAGCGACAGCTACAGCGATTAAGTCGAGTTAAAGAATTACGTATTTTTATAGAGATATTTTTGACAAACGAGCGCGCAGACTACTACAGGTGCGCGAACGCCCCTGAGAATTAAGATGGAATGCCTCGTAACCAGTAATAACGCTCTCCGGTTTTCAACACTCACCATACGACACACGGAGTTATTCTGTTGTATCACACTGGTATTATGTGAGAGCGTAGTCCCGCTCCGGTCAAGCTGACCACTAGACTATCAAAGTCCACCGCTGAGCATATGTCTCCCTATAGATTGCCTTATTGCGGGAACATTTGGCATAGTTGCCACGCATGGCAGGCGAGTATGCAACCAAAGTTTTGTTCAAACATTACAGTTGTTATTTGGGAGACACTTCTGCCCATTACCTTTTTTTCTTTTTGGATTTTTCCTTTTGTTCTTAGTATACCCACGGGATAATATGGGGTGATAGGTACATCTTCTTATAACGCCACTACATGCTGATTATTATTATTATTATATTAACCTATTAAGGCGACACCGCGAAAAAATGCACCTCCTCTCATCGAATGGTATAGGAGTATAACACGACTAACGAAACTGGAATTTTGATATAAAAAACGATAGTAAAATTTTGACTCGATCATAATTATTTGCGAAAACACCTCTAAAAAATCACTATAGTTGTAATTACAACGAAATTACTTAATCTATATGATTGGGAACCACTCAAATACATTTATAACATCAATATTCTTAATATACTTGCTCATTATTTTGATTACTAAAATCAATAATTTTTTAAAAATATTTTAAGATTCTTAGCGATTTCTAAGCGGTCTAAATCGTCGCGGACGCTACGCAATTTTAGACATCAAAACGGCGCTTTTGAAGTTTTTATAGAAATTATGTTTCACTCGGGTCAGTCCGGCGATAGCCCGCTTCAACGGTTTTCGATGTGTCGCCTTAAAAAGGTGCCGCACGCCTGTCAACCGTGCTACACGTAGAACGCAAACGATGCCACGTTTTCCATGCAGTTTTATACAACACAACTGCTGCCATGACGTAAGCGAACTCGCCAGCATTGAGTGTGCTCCGTCTTTAAATCTGAACAATCTTGTTGCTTACTGCTACAGGCTATTAGTCAAAACAATAATGTGACCTTTGTTAATCTCAGATAATCTTCATAAAACATACATATGACTTGACGTTAATGTGTATACTGAGGCACAAAATCACAAGAGGCAATTATTATTTTGTATTAAAGTAATTTTACAAATCGCAAATGTCTGAGAGAGAGATTACTACGTATTCGTGCCGTTTGAAATGATATGAAAATTGTATTTTTCGTGGTGAGAAATTAAAATAACTTTTTTTAATTTAGTTTTAGTTTGTTATAGACTACAGGTATGATAGGTCCACGTGAGTTGAAGTTCCTAGAGGAACTGTATTCGCAACTAGTCTTCGCCGCTCGTGATAAGAGGGCCATTTTTTTCTCGCTCATAGTCTAAGTATAGACATCCAACAAGAGAACGCATCCGGTTTTCTGAGCAATATACTCATACCGCGTTTAGTAGTACTGTGTATTAACTTTAGTTTTTGGTTTTAGCTTCTTTATTATTTTAAAAATTATTTTTAATTATTCTTAATTCCCAACGTTTATATAGAAAGTAAAGCATAAATAATTCTGGTTATCGTCACTCATTGTATGTTTGAAACATATAATAAGTGACGAGAACCGAAAACCGGAACCGGAGTGTAAAATGCTGCATTCCACTAGAAAATTTTTATCTGACAAAGCGTGTCCGGTTGAGCCCACCCTTTCGTCTAAATTACGCATAAAAATAAAATTAATATTTAAACGCGATGGAAACAAAGGCCACCTTATTAAAACCACAATTTATTTGCGTTTAATAAGTTTATGATTAATAGTCTAAAAACTGTGTACTGTGTTTAAGAATATCTACTACGCCTTATCGTCCCGTGAGTATTGTAAGAGGCGACAGAGGGAAACTAGAGAAAGAGATCATAATCATCGAGATAACAACTGAATATAATAAAAAATTGCGTATGCCAACCCGCATCCCAAGCTTGGCAACTATGGCAAAATCCACCCGATGAGGCAATCAATGGCCTATGTACAGTGGACTTTTATAGGCTGTAATGGAAATATTCGAAAATAAGTATTTTAATGTAAGTCCATTACCATGACGTAGGTTATTTGAGACCTTAATGGATGAGTAATATTTTAATAATTATATAGTAAAAAAAAAACTTTATTTACCAATTGTTTTTTATTCCTGACTTAATGGCGTAGTACTACAAATGCATCCACGTAACGTGTGCAATACGTACGCGTTGCGATACTACTTGAAATGCATACAACTGTATACATTTTTCATATAGTTTCATATATTACACACTAGTGCTGCAATGTACACATATTTAGTGTGCTTCAGTCTTAAGAATTATGATATTATACGATTGTACACTGATAATTAAGCTAGGTGCAATTAATTTGCTTTATTACAAGCTTTTATGCCGACGTAGATAATGGACTATTCACAGTTGTATAAACGATTTTTTTATTAGCAATTCCCGCATATCGTGAAGACATATGTATGTCTAAGAGATAAAATAATATTTTGAAGACAATATAAATCCACTAACACTCATTGGTGTAAAATTGCGGACGTTTTCGTGCCCTAAAAACACTTTAGAAACAAGAGCGGTCATGTGCCCAGGATTCGGACGTAATTTTTTTTTATTTAACTTAAGTTGTACAATCAATTACAAAAATCGTTTTAGAAACAGCTTGGTAGGGATTACCTCTTACTCATAGGTAATTATCAACGATGTATTCAATCATATTACTTAAAGGTTGCGATGTAGATAACACTGCTGTGTATAGCAAATGTACCGATGAGCACTGCCAGATGTGAAACGAACCTTTACTGACTCACAAGATTGATTGCCGTAGCTTGCTTATCAGTATTATCTAAACATTGTTCACGCGGACACAATGCTAATTTTTCCAGTCTCACGCAATATTTCGCGTTATTACCAACCATTGAACACTGTGAAAATTCAACGGGTCCGATATTGTTCTTTTACGACTTACGACTTATCGCTTTTCTTAGTCCATTCATGTACCGTATATACAAGTTTTATAAATAAAGACATATATTCTTTCTTGTTTAAAAAATATAGGTACATGTAACACCTGCATATTATAATAAATTACTTAGAAGTAACATGGTAAATTACTTAGAAGATTTACTCTTACGCTGGAAAACGAAAATAACGAAAATGGAAGTAGATTTGAATATAAAGAAGTTTGTCAAAACAAAAGCTTAATTTTGGTTTCTTACACACATACATCAAAGAAATAAATATTTTTAATTTCATTTCATAAACATTTTAAACAATTAATATTATGTAGTGTTAGTGAATTTGGGGTGGATCTTACTGTGCCACTTCCCTGAAAGGGCAAACCAACGTCTGCTGAGTCAGCTATATATATATATATATAGACATCCTATTTATAGTCCTATAGATAGACTACCTTCACTATATTTGCTTGAAATTAGTCAAATCCCAATATAGTTTGCATATAATATAGGAAATCAACTGGGATGAATTCGAGAGTAATAGTGAGTACGTACCTGCACGAATGCAATCAATGTCGCTATGTGCATGACAGCCGCTTCATGGGGCTCTGAAACAAATAAAAATATGTAATTAGTTATAATGAATTTTCAGTAATATTTTCATAAAATTTTGCACATTTCGATAAAGAAAAAAGGGACAAGGAAATAATAGAAGGGAAGCTTTTAAATAAAGCGTATATCGATTGCATTTACACATTTAAATGTTTGTATGTAAAAGTACACACTGAACGTAGTTCTTAAAATTAAGAGTTTTTAATATTCGGAGACGGATATGTTAATTATTAAGACATTTTTGTGTATACAAACTAAGAGCAACAAATTTTTCGTACACGATAATATAATGCGTTTAGGAAAAAGAAAAGAAAGTTTTAAATACACAATACGTATAACGTTAGATTGTTAGAATACTTTCTGCGTTCTACGCGTAAACAACTATCTAGAACGGTGGCCAGTATTTTGGGTTCTCCGGGGCAGCCTCTTTTAATACCAACTGTAGTTAACGTCGTTATTATATAATAATATTCCCGTAATAAGTCAATATTAACCAATCCGTTACATTATTATCATAAGAATATGTAATATATAATAATAAAATAGGGTAAAGTGTCATATTTTTAAAACTGTAAATTAATTCCAAGTTAAGTTTAACCAATGGCAGACTTGCATAACATTTTATTATTATTTTTTACCACATAATCGACACTTTAAAAGTGCGCGAGTGATAAAATAGAATGTGGCAAATTAGTGTCGAGTATCATTCATATTTAGAATAGCTCCTTATTACGAAACGAAACGCAATGTATTGAATGTTGATGATTTGTCACGGATTTGTCAAATCATAAACGCTGGCCTTATAACTGACATCTCTTTATAATCATCTCACTACATTTATAATTCTTATATGAGATTTTAAATTAGCCATAAGTAATATTAAATAGTTTGGAAAATCAAAAATTGCACGTCTCATGTGCGTTTCATTTAATTTTGATGAAAAAATAAATTAACAAAATAAATCTATTACAAAAAATATAAAATCGATATAGGCAGTATGGTATATTTGTCTTTTGTCTACAACATTTTTAATAGCAATAAAAATTTATAAAACTTGAAAATCATTTTATTAACAAACGACGCGACTAGGCTATTGATATGAAATAGGGAACCAGTTGACGTAATTCTGAAGCAAATAAAAAAAAACCCGGACTCGATACGTCAATTTTTTCGAGAGTTATCGTGACCACATACAAGTCAACATCCGGACGTCTACGTATTTTTTTTTTCAAACCGTTTATTTATCAAAGTAGCAATATAAAATGATTTTTTAGAAAATATTAGATTAATTACTTAGAGTGTTTCCTTAATACACGGTTCCTCGTAATATCTTATAAGTGCAATATGGCTATGAAAGAGGCATTTTAAGACCACAAAATTGCTTGACCTTGGCATGTCGACACTACCTAATAACACTTCGCGTTATGAGGCGTGTAAAGATTCGCAACGTACCTAATCTCTTTCGGAGCTACATAAAACACAAACTTGCATATTTAGAGCTTTATCTGTCCCCTAATAAAAACATACTTGATATTGCTTACTAGTCCACATTCGATCTCAACGAGTAGGCACCTTTGTGTTTGCACGAACAATTTAGGCACTATATAATTTCTGACTTTTAATGATTATTCTTATTTTTTTCTTATTATATTATATATTATTTCTAAATATTACATAGCTGACGCTGACCAGCACATCCGTTGCCTAAGCAAGTCTAAGGTGGAACACATCATTAGATGCTAATGACTAATACCTTTATTTTTATTTTCGTAACTCATCCTTGACACTAAAAACTTATTTTCATCTTATAGTATACTAATTATTTTGACACAGTAACTTTAAGGAAAATACCACTTTAAGTAAAAAAAATGTATTGTTAGTAGTTTACTGCAGAAGTTTACTAACGGATTCAAGCTAATAAACCAATTAAATATAGGTAATACTTTATTTTCATAGGATAAGGGTGACAAAAGAGCACACAGTCCATCTGATGGTAAGTGGTTGCTGTGGCCCATAGGCATCTAAATCTATCGTCGATTACGAATCAAAATGCAGATGAGTTGTCACCCGTGAGGACTAAGATGGATTGCCTCGTTTCCAGTAAAAAGGGTCTCAGATTCTCTACACTCACCATACGAAACAGAGCAGCGTTAAGCAGCTATTTTACGCTGGTATTCTGTGAGAGCGTGATCCTTCCCCGGTCGAGCCGAACCATTCGTGCTACAACCATAATATAGCTGCAGTATAGCTCTACGACGTATAAAAATATATTTTTGTAAAATAATACTAATTGAAACTTAACTCTTTGATCGCAAAAATTTAGTTTCAATTTATTTTTTATAGAATAGTACACAATCCACCTGATGGTAAGTGAATGCTGTGGCACATAGACATTTACCGTACCGTACCGTTACAGCCTATTAAAGTCCACTTCTCAGTTTAGGCCTGCCCCATAGATAGCCTTATAGAGGGGATATTCGCCATAGTTGCCAAGCGCTTGGCAAGATGCTGCTACCCATCTACTGATTTATTTTTCTCTTTCACCTCTTACGATACCCACGGAATGATATAGGGTAGTGGATATTCTTACAACGCCACTATACGGTAATAGACATCTATCTACATTTATCCTCAATTAAGAATCAAAATGTGCGTTGGTATCCCTGAGACTAAGATGGAATGCCTCGTTTACAGAAAAAAGGGTCGCCGGTTCTCGTACTTTAAGTTGATTTTCTGTGAGAGCGTGGTCATACCCCGGTCGAGCCGACCCATTCGTGCTACAACTATAGCTGCAGCATGGCTCTACCACGTATAATGTGTGTGTGTGTGTGTGTGTGTGTGTGTGTGTGTGTCTACCACGTATAGTGTTCACGTAAATATGAGAAATCGTTAAATCTTAATTGTTAAATGAGATAAAATTTCGCGTACCTCATAGGTACCTAGTCAAGATGACCCATTCATGCTACAACCATAATATAGCTGCAGCGTGGAGCTACAGCGTAAAGACATATAATAAATTCAATTACTAATACATCTCAGTACTGGGAGGTGGTATACTTTTAATTTTGAAGGGGTTATTGGAGTAATTGGTCCACTGCGCTGCTCCTGTGTGTAATGGAGGTCTAGAGATATACATTAGTTTTTTTTACAATGTATTCCTTTACCGCCGATCATGTAGTAAATTTGCAATTAACAATTAAATTGGAAAAGCTACCACGGCTAGAGTACGCCAAACTACTAGGCTTACTGTCTTTATCATTTAATGCAACAGTAATTTAATTTTTACTGATTGGATTGCCTTCTTAGCTCATTTCGTTTATTCGAAAGATACTTTGACCGTCGAAGGAAAAGGGAAATATTTCCGCCGGGAAATTTGTTCAATCCAAGAAGCGGCTAACTCTCGTTTCTCCTCAGAAGGGGAACCTACGTCATCATCATCATCATTGAAGACTTTCAGGCGTATATTGCTGAACATAGACTTTTACATAGATCATAATATTTTCAAATTAATTTATGAAAAATAAAATCAAGTCTCTAAATAGTGCCACGTTTTATGATCAAACTCCCACAAGCATTTGATCACCAGAAACAAAATACCGATAAGTATTAAAAGTTAGCAAACGAAGTGCTTGCAACCTTAAACATTATAAAATAAAAAGGCTTCTGTAATTAAAATCGTTATAAACATATTATCGAAGGTTAACATCGTCTCGAATAACAATTAAATATTTTAACAGCTACTTGAATCGGTTATCTGTATTTTCTTATGCACTATTCGTCTAGTAATAACCATGTTAAGTAAAATCGATTTCATGATATGATAAGCGTGAAAGATAAAAATTAATACTTATAACTCTACTGACTAATATACTCGATAACTCTACTGACGCGTCACGAAGAAGACCTTAATTGTAAGGTTATATTAGTCTCAAAAACGTGAGGTCAATCGTATTGGACCTTTCAAGGTATGAAGTGTTTCCGCATGACATTTTGACACAAGTTTGTCCGAAGTTAGTTAAATTGTTTCCTAATGTTATTTATTATAACTGACATCTCGATGACTCGTAAATAACTTTATGTTATTAGGAACTGTTGAAATTGAAAACAAGATTATGACATTTATAACATATTACAACCGGAAGTATCTGTTTAATATCACGAATGATTTATGGCGGATCGAATATAATATTTTTCATAATTCCGATCTTTTGATTTGCAGTTAGTGTTATTGCTTGATATTCAAGGCTTAGTGCTTAGTGTGAATTCGAGCTACGATGGTAATGTTCTAACTTTAGTTCGAAAAAAATATTTTTTTTTCAACTTTTAAAAGATTAATTATTTGACTCTTGAGTGCACTAATATCATAAATAAGACAACGACTAGAATGTCGTCTAAATATTTATATAAAACGTTTAATTTTACTTAACCATTTCGAGGTGATTTTATTTTAAAAATGGAATTTGATCTTTAGCCGAAAAGCTTGACACCATCGATGGCAGAAAAGAATGTGTAGAAAGAACATGGCAGAACCTTAGGTATGTAATGGTAAGTGCAGCGGAAGAAGTGTGTGGAACAATAAAAAGAGGCAGTAGTAAAAGAAGAGATGCATGGTGGAATGATGAAGTGAAAGAAGCTGTAAAGAAGAAAAAGAAAGCATGGTTAGACTACTTGGCCTCTAGTAATGATAAGGATATGAGAGAGAAGATGAAAGAAAGATATAGGCTGCAGAAAGTTCACACGAAAGCACTGATTGAGGAAGTGCGTGAAAGGTGTAGAATGGAAGCGGACGAAAGGTTGTCGCACAACTTTAAGGAGAACTCCAAACTCTTCTGGAAAGAGGTTGGAAGGACCCGAAGTGGTGCGACGGCCTTAAGAATGAACAAAGTTCTTTCGAGAACTAATGACGTCCTCTCAGAAAAATCGGACGTCATGCAGCGATGGAGCGAATTTTATTGAGAAATGTATGCGTGTGATGA